TGCACTTCCTTGTAAGGAATTGTCCATTTTGATAATACATTAATGTAGTAAGCTACAGTACCCTCTTGCATGTGAAAATGTAACACTAACACATGTAGTTGAGCATGAGATAAATATTTTTTATCATGATTGAAGTTGGTTAATAATCCTAAAGCTAACAAAATAGGCCGTGGATAATATGTTCCGATGGATTTACATAAATTTGAGGTGTTGATTGGTGGAGCTGACAATTGTCTTAAACTTCAGTTTTGCTATCTTAACACAATCCCATGAACACTTTTTTTTTTCGATTTTATTTGAAAAGAATAGATAGGTCGTTTCACCCTCTGGTGTTTATGGCTATGGCATCGAAAATACACTTTTCTTATCCCAGTAGTAGGCCTAAAATAGTGTAAAATGTAAAGTTTACTTTAACAAAACCTAATTTCCAATTACTATCACATCTTCAATAGTTTATATTTATGGGAATTTCCAACTGTCTGTGAATAATAACTATAGTTCTATATAAAAATCGTCTCTTTTATGGTGTTTTCAGTCGCTTATGTTATTGCAGTGGCAGATCTAAAAATGTTAAATAGAGAGGTAGGGGGCCTAGCTAGCTATAGTAATATAGGCAAAATATTAATATTATTAAGCCTAGCCTATCATGCCTTGTCCCCAGGCATACAGTATATGCCTTGTATTTCTATTCTACCTGATCGATTTCTAAAACATCCAGATTCATTGCGATTGTTGAGCCAATAAGACTATTTTTTATATACATTCAGTATTTAATGCAATGTGCACTCCATTACTTAGGACGACTGGTTGTACTTATCGGCTCATCAGCACCGGGGCGATCAGTCTGTTTATTTTAAGGTCTTATGCACAATATTTTGTAGATGTGAGCACTGTGGTACAGAATTGTGGGGATGCTGTACTTTTTATGTGATGTAAAAAACTTGTGAAACATGGCCCAAGGTGATGAGACAGTTTATTTGGGGGTGGGTGGGGGGCCTGGCACGATATTTTGTTGACGCAAAGCACTATGGTACAGAAGCAAGGGGTTGTAGTAGTTTTTATGTGATGTAAACAACTCATGAAAACATGGCCTACAAGGTACTCATTTTGGGGGTTTTTTGGCTGTTTTTTCATGTTATCCAATATCCCAGTGTAGAAAAGTAGCGTCATGTTCGTGACATATATAGAAAACCCAGTGTATCGAAAATGAGCACATTCCTACTAGCAGTTTCAGAGGAGATGGTGAAGTTACGCTGAGGCGTTAACAGAATTAACATATAGATATATTTAAAAAGCGACTGCCAAACCAAAATGTGTTATTTAAGTTTTCTGATTTTCTTTTGGTTAATGCAAAAAGGTATGAAGTCACCTATTATATAGGGATTTCATTGCCCAAAAATGATATGCATATAGAAACCATGTCCACACTGTACCATTATTGAGATGCTTGACAACTACTGGAGCACAAAGTTGTATGTACTAAGCCTTTTAAACTTCAAATGAAAAACTTTTTGTCAGTTAATTAAATGGTACTGTATACCCATATGGTAACATTTAATCAAGCGGGATCATTATGAATTGCATGTACATGTCATTAAATTTGTTGTGGTGATGTTGAAAAAACATTATAGAATTAAGAGAAAATAAGAAAAAAAAGGGGAAAAAAACCCTTATTCAGAACCAATAGTGTTTTTCAATTTTCATTATGCAGCTGCCTTCTACCATAGATTTTTGTTACCGTAGATGTTCATACTTTTTCCGTCCATTGTTCTTTAATAATCACCTTTAAAAAAAAAAAAGCCAAAGAGGAAACTTTCAGGCTGATGTGACAAAATTGGATCCTGCTTAATACTTTGCCTTACAATACAATGTATACCCATACTGTATATAGACATGATATGGTCATGATGTGATATCATGACCAGAAGGTAATTCAATAAATATACCTAAATGTTATAAAAACATTCCAGTCAGAGGTTCTCCACAAAGAAAGAAATTACGTAAAAAATGATGTGCACAATACAGATATTAAGAATAAAAATGAACATTGATCTAAACAAAAGATGGATATAAAAATTATACTATACTGCTGTACATACTGCTCTACATTGATGTGAAATGTATATGATACATAAAAAGTCAATCTAGTGTTAGGTAAATAATAGGAACTAAGAAAGGTTTGGTTTATTGAGGTTCTTTATATACCTTTTATTGTTGAGTATACTTCAATTGTATCTTTTATTGCAGCCTTTGGGTCAATGTCAGCTTGAATTGCATTATTTCAACAAACACAATACAACTTTAATGAAAGATACAATTGAATATTGGGAATGGGACATGCTGTTACCAGTGCATTATATAAGGCAACACGTGGCTTATAGTGTACAAATATTGACTGCTCATGAGGAGAATAATGAAATCTATTGCCCCCGGAGGTGATGTGAGGGAAGATAGGCTACGGTCTCCACATCCCCAAGGGGAAATAGATTCCACTGTTCCCTGAATATAGAGCAGTCAATATTTGTTTTATATACCTCACACATAGCTTCTATGAGGCCTAAAAAAGTAGCCTGTTATATTAGAGGCATACTCTACTACTACTACATATTAGAGGCATACTACTACTACTCGACTAGCTCGGCCTAGGCGATCAAAGAGTGTGTCTAGCTCTTCTTAGCTTATTTCTTCAATTTCAACAGCACCCATTGTCTTGCACTATATTTGTCGGATATTAATAAGACATATTTAATTTGTCTTGGTGCTTTTGCTATCAGCTTCTCATCAAGAAGTAATGCTAGGCCTGCCCTAGGCTAGTCCTCCTTCATCTCAAAACGAGCAGCCTCCATATTTGTTTATCATTTACTTGCTGATCCGTGACGCGGTCAGGGGACGATCTCGTCGTAGAGGTCGCAGTCCCCTTTACCGTCAGCAGCGCGATGTAGTGGGCCGGCCTAGAGTTTGCACATTGCGACAGGTCAAAAAAGTACTATTTTTGAGGGGAATAGTACTTTTTGAGGGGAATACTTTCAATAATTGCCCCGCTTCTTAACCAATCAGATGCCTTGAATCTATATATGAGGTATATAATATCTGCTATCTGTGTTAAAAGCTAATTTCTAAACATTAGTGGATGGTTGGATGGATGGATGGAGGGGGCAGTGGGATAGGATGTGGAATGTGATGGGACGGGATAATATGGATGCGATGAGATATGGGATGGGGTACGTATGGGGTGGTATATGGGATGGGAGAGGAGATGGGATAAAAAATTGGATGGGATGAGATACTGTAAGATAAAAAAGATAAGATAATAGATTAATTGCAATTAACACAGTTAAAAATTAGGCAAATACCATAAAATACAGTATAGTTGTAAAGACCTTGATTGTTGGTCTACATCAGGGATGGGCATAAAAATCGGTCGGAGGGCCATAAGTGAACTTTTGATTTAACACAGAGGGCTGCACCCAAACTTTGATGTTCCAGTGAGCTTCCAAAAACCTCCAATCACTGCTTTTACATCACCTTTATTCTCAGTTTTAATGTTACTTTTTAAATATTATTTGTGTCAGGCCGTAAAAAAGGTGTTTTCTAGCCAATTCTGATTGGCGGGCCGCAAACATAGGGTTTTTAATTCATAGTCGCAGGCCGCAAAAAAATCGCTGAAGGGCCCCACTTTGCCCACCTGTGGTCTACATGAATATTTCAGATAGAGGAAGTAGGCCATGTAACTCTGGATAGTTCAATAATAAACAAGCAACTTTCAGTTCCTGTTTGGAAGGTAATCAAATGAGATGGTATAATACGTACTCCAAGTATCGAAATGCACGCCATCGTGTCGGGATTCAATATTTTCACTCATTATTAGTCAATTTTATTGTGACATTTTTTTAATACTAAATTTTAATTGAAAGAGTCTAATAAATTAAATTACAGTATAAATGTTTGTTTCTCATAGTATATTTACTTGTGATTTCCTTGTTTCTTGCAATTAATTCTGTAAATGTATTTTTAATGTGTTTAAGTTTAGTGAGTGTTATGTCCGAATTTTATGCCTGTTTCTAATTATTCAAGCTCGTTTTTAATTCAATTGCATTGTTTTGATTGTATTTCTTTGCTTCTCCCTGTTGGAGGTTATTTTGAATAAATGAAATTAAATGAAATGTACTCTTATGATGTAGTAAAACTATGCTACAGATACACACAAATAACCATACTTTATCAAAAATAGCATAATTTGAATATAGATGTTGTTTTTTGATTCCCTTGATCAGATTTGTATGTGGAATGTGTGTATTTACAACACTATTCAGAGCTTAAACTTACCTGAAACTTTTTGTTTGTTTATAGTTGTATGAATAAACTTCCACATACCTCATATGCAATCTATTATATCATTGTTTGACTTCTCAGTGCCTTAGCAATTGCATTATGTTAATGTATTGTTGTACTTATCCTAGTCTGCAATGCTAGGACTATATACATGGTTACATTCATTAGAACTGATATTAAATGGTATTTCAACAGGAATTTGAATTTTTTTTAAATGATATGGCAATATGGAGTTAAATTGCATAAAGTCCACATTTAGATCTTGATTGATTATTGGCCTGGCTAGAGTTTTGAACTCGTAAAGTAAGAGTCTGCTTGAAAGTTTGTATGTTTATATAAATATTTATACAAATTAATAAGTTTTCTGGTGTTCTATGTAGCATATAGTATGCTACAGCACAACTCGGTTGATTGTATTTGGATCTGAAAAGAACCATTTGGATTGTTATCATATGTAATGTTAAATTGTATAAAATTAACTTGATAAAG